TTTTTGAGATAGGCTCTTGCTCTGTGGCCCAGGCTGGAGTAAAATGGCATGATCTCAGCTCACTGCAACCTCTGCCTCCTGGGTTCAAGCGATTCTTGTACTTCAGCCTCCCAGTAGCTGGGATTACAGGTGTCCACTACCACGTCAGGCTAATTTTTGTATTTTTAGCAGAGATGGGGTTTTGCCCTTTTGGCCAGGTTGGTCTCAAACTCCTGACCTCAAGTGATCCACCCGCCTTGGCCTCCCAAAGTGCTGGGATTACAGGCGTGAGCCACCTCGCCTGGCCAGAGACCGAGATTTTTTATGTGAAATCTCTTGATTGTAAAGTATCAACAAGTAATTCAAATGTTTAAAAAAACACTGCAGAGGCCAACACAAATTTGTCTCTGGGCCAGATTCAGCGTGTAAGCGCCAGTTTCTTGTCAATGGGTATAAAACCCAGAGCAACTAAAGACATCTGCATTTCCACCTGTCGCCGCAGTCACCCTCCTGGCAGTGGGGTGGTGGGGAGAGCCACTGCCACTGCTCTGTTGCCTAAGCCAGGAAGGGCTCTACTTACGTACTTATTCCAGTGGCAATAACTGGTGAGAACTGAGGAGCCATTCCTGAACAGCGACTTAAACCACAATTTGTTGTTATCCCTCACAGTTTCGGGGGTTGGTGGGGCTCATCCGGGTGGTTGCAGCCAGCTGGAAGTGGGGGCGATGACCTCATCGGATGACTCAGCTGGCGAGAGGTCCAAGATGGCGGAGTCATATGGCGGCTGTTGACAATGGGCGTTCATGGCTGTGCTGGCTGGGGCTGGGGCTGCGCTGGCTGGGTGGGCATCTCAGAGCACAGCCACTGGGCTCCAAGGAGGGCATCCTGGGAGAAGGTTCCCAGAGGCTATGGTGGAAGCCATAAGGCTTCAGAGGACCCAGTCTTGGGTGTCCTACAGTATCGTTCGACTACATTCTTTCCCTCAAGTGCGTAATTAAATCAGCCCAGCATCAAGGGGAGGGGGTTAATCTCCACTTCTCCATGTGAAAGACAGCCAAGAATTTGAAGCCATCTTTTTGTTTGGTTGGTTTTGGTTTTTAGTTTTGGTTCTGAGACAGGGTCTCTCTCTGTCACCCAGGCTGGAGTGCAGTGGTGCAATCATAGCTCACTGTAGCCTTGAACTCGTGAGCTCAAGCAATCCTCCTGCCTCAGCCTCCCAAATAGCTGGGACTATAGGTGTGCACCACCACACCCAGATAATTTTTTTCCCATCTTATGGTGCTAATTTAAAAAAAAAAAAATTTTTTTTTGAGAGGGAGTGTCACTCATCGCCCAGGCTAGTGGGCAGTGGTGTGATCTCAGCTCACCACAACCTCTGCCTCCCCAGTTCAAGCTAGTCTCTGCCTCAGCCTCCCAAGTAGCTGGGATTACAGGCACCCACCATCACGCCCAGCTACTTTTTGTATTTTTAGTAGAGATAGGGTTTCACCATCTTAGCCAGGCTGGCCTTGAACTCCTGACCTCATGATCCACTCACCTCGGCCTCCCAAAGTGCTGGGATTACAGGTAGGGAGCCACCACACCCGGCCCGAAAAGTTTTAAATTTTTAGTAGAGATGGGGTCTCACTATGTTGCCCAGGCTGGTCTTGAACTCCTGGGCTCAAGTGCTCCTACCTTGGCCTCCCAAAGTGCTGGGATTCCAGCATGAGCCACAGAGTCCAACAGCCACCTTTAATACACCAGATTTCAGGGGTGGGGGTGTGATGCACGGATGGCTGAAGGGGGCTCCCTCCACCTGAGCACAGACCCTCATTATCTTAACTGGAGGATTTGGGCTCATGGAGATGCCCAGACAGTGTCTCCCCCAGGTCACTGCTGCAGTGAGATGCAGACAGAGCCAGAGGAGAGATGTTCCTGGAGAATCAGGAGGGCAGGAGCCTGTCAGAAGAAGGAAAGGCCGGTCCATGAGATGTAGAAACCCTCACGCTGATGGTGTCTGGATGTCCATGGAGACTCCGGGGGGCCATCTTCAGGCGGAGATGCCACCCCACCATCCTTTCGGTTCCACGGTGACATCAGGGCACAAAGAGTCTTGTGCTGGAATGCCCTTCAGATAACCAAGCAGGCCACGGGCTCCCACCTCAGACAGGCAGCAGAGTCTAACCAAACAGAAACATGGACCTGGAGGTGCCCTCAAAGCTCTAAAATAAAAGCCCCAGCACAGCCCTAAGTGAAGTCCTCAATTTTGCCCCATGAGGCCATGCCCAGGGATGGTTTCTCCTCTGCACACGGGCAGGTGTGCCCTCTGTATCCTCTCCTCTGCACACAGGTGGGCGTGCCCTCTGGATCCTCTCCTCTGCACACAGGTGGGCGTGCCCTCTGGATCCTCTCCTCTGCACACAGGTGGGCGTGCCCTCTGGATCCTCTCCTCTGCACACAGGTAGGCGTGCCCTCTGGATCCTCTCCTCTGCAAGCAGGCAGGCGTGCCCTCTGGATCCTCTCCTCTGCACATGGGCGGGCATGCACTCTGGCATCACAGCTGGGCTCATTCCCCTCTCGGGACCCCGCCAGAGCCTCCTTCTACGCTGACCAGGATCATCACGTGGGCTGCCTGTGGTTTCTTCCTTTCCCTCCTCCTTTTCTCCTTTTAAGGAAGCGTGATTGTGGAACGAGTCCCCTACTCTACAGACCAGAAATACTGCCTGAGAATCGTTCCCCAGCGGGGACCCCTTTGTGAATATTTGTGCAGCCTGTCATATGTTTCGGTCAGAGACAAGCATCATTCATTCTTCACACAATGAGCATTCCAGGATACAGAAAGGGAAGTGACTCAGGTTTTGGGAACCCAAATCCACCATGTGGAGCTCCGTGAAGGTGTCTGCCCCATAGAGACCTGCCTTGGTGCTGCTTCCAGGACAGCAGAAATTTCCCAGCACCTCCGACACCCCAGCCAGCCTGGCTGCCTCCGGCCTCTGCCATTTCTCCTGCTCTGCCCCAGCCTTCCAGATCTTTCTTTACAGGAGTGCCGCATTGGGAAGCACATGGCATGCAGGGCAGGAGAGACCCTGAATGTGGCCCTCAGGGAAGGGTAATGAGGATTTGGTGCAGGGGCCAAGTCTGGGTCTCCAGAGAAAGGCACATTTTCTTCCCATAGGAACTCTGCCACCCTGACTCGAGCATTTCCCGATGGCAGCTACAGAGTTGCGGCGTGTGCTTAGGGAGTGTGCAAGCGTAAGATTCTGCTTGTCCTTGAGGGCCAGAGACGTGGGAAACATGTCAGACACACAGGAGCACATGTGGTTCTGCAGAGCTGGGCAGGTCACACACAGCCTGGATGGGTCACCCATTCCTGCCCGGGGCCATTTGGGGAGATGATTCCTCTCAGGGAGGCCACGGTCCAGGCACAGGCTCCGGGGGACGGATATGCTGCCGGCTCTGGGGTTCCAGTCCAGGTTCCTCCGGCATTACTCCACAGAGGGCTTCAGATAACAGGGCAAGCCAGAGTACAGATAACTGCAAGGCACAGGTGATGCAGGGCGGGCGGGCACCGAAGTGGGCCTTAGCCTGCGAGAGTTCTTGGCTTTGCCCGGAAGGGATTCAAGGACCAGCAGGAGGTGGGATAAACAGCTTTACTGAGGCGGCTGTGTTTGGTGTTACAGCTCTGAGCTGTTCCTCCGAGGCCATGCGCTGAGGGTAGCGACTCTGGCAGTCCCACTGATACCCACTTTTAATTACATGCACATAAAGGGGCACATTATACAGAGATCTCTGGTTATGGGTGGTAATTTTCGGGGTCATAGGCTCCTTGCCATGAAAAGGGGCGGGAGCTCCCAGGCATTGCCATGGCAACGGTAAACTGCCATGGAGTGCTGGTGGGTGTGGCTTGGGGACAGCTGCTTGCACCCTGGCCCTATTTTAGCCAGTCCTCGATTAGGTCCAGTGTCCAAGCCCCACCTCTGGAGTCCAGTCCCACCTGCTAGCTCACGGGCACAGAATCCCTCGCCAGCGCCTGGAATGGGAGTTCACATGCACATTCCTGCTCTGTGTCCACGACAGCTGCTCAGCCCACCCAACAGTCTGCATGCGGCCACCGTGGACTGCGGCTCCAGCACGTCCCAGGGGCTCCACGGAGCCACCTGTCACCCACCCGTGGTGGAGCTGTGGTGTGAGACGGCAAAAATGACTTACACATGTCCAGGTAGAGAAGTTGCTGCCGTCTTTTTAAAATTAAACTTTTAATTTTGCCATCATCATAGATTTGTGTGTGGTTGGTAGAAATAGCACAGAGAAATCCTGCGTACCCTAGATGTATGCAGTGCCCCCAACAGTGACCCACTGGGTACACACGGTGCCACGACACAGCCAGGACACAGGTGCAGTGCCATCCCGGACGCCACTCCCTTCCTCAGCTCTACCCGCCCTTGCATGCCCTGTGTGCAGGTTTCAGGTAGATTTTTTGTTTTGTTTTTTGACACAGAGTCTCACTCTGTCACCCAGGCTAGAGTGCAATGGTGCAATCTCGGCTCACTGCAACCTCCACCTCCCAGGTTCAAGCGATTCTCCTGCCTCGGCCTCCCAAGTAGCTGAGCTTACAGGCACCCAACACCACACTCGGCTCATTTTTGTATTTTCAGTAAGACAGGGTTTCACCGTGCTGGCCAGGCTGGTCTCAAACTCCTGACCTCAGGTGATCCAACCGCCTCAGCCTCCCAGAGTGCTGGGATTACAGCCACGAACCACTGAGCCTGACCAGTTTCATGCAGTTTTAACACACATGCAGATCAGGCACCAGCCACCTTTCTAAGAAAGGAGCCTCTCGATGCTTGAGGATGGGGACAAACCTCGGTGGCAAGAGTGAGAGGCCACGGCCCACCCACCCCGTGGAGGCCCCAGACAAGCATGTGGTCACAGAGCGGCACTGACTTCAGAAGGAGGGCGAGGCGGGAGTGGAAGAGGAGCAAGTAGGACGCACCCCCACCCCAGCGCACAGACACAGCGCCCGCATGGGAAGCGTGTCTCACCTCTGTGATGATATAAAAGTCGTCCCCAGGCTCTCCCTGGACCACGATTTTCTCTCCATCTTCAAACTGGACAGGCTCCAGCGCATCAGCCACGGTCAGGCGCTCCCACTTCTCCAGGGACTCTGTCGGGGAAGGACAGGTCACCCCGGGGTCCACACCTCCCTGGCCACAGTCCAAGACAAGAGCAACCACTCTTCCCAAAAGACATCCTCTGAAGTACACACAGCACCAGCTCCGTGACCAGCAAACTGCGTAAAACGAGGCCGTGACACTGGCCCCCGGCACCTCTGTTCCAGGGGGCCTGGGTTTTCTTGCAATCAGCGGGTCCCAGCCCCATGTGGCTCATGTGCCCTCTTCAGCAGATGCGGAGGGAGTCCTCTGACACTTAACCCTGGCTTACCGTAAACACCCGGCAGTGAAAACTGACTCCAGGTTAACTCAGTATGAAAATACTTCTGCTATCTTCAAAAAAATAGAGTTGCTTACAGTTTTGCAAACAATGGAGTCCCAGCTAAGCACAAAGCCTACTAAGTGATTTAAAATAATTCAGAGGCCAGGCACAGTGGGCTCAGGACTGTAATTCCAAGACTTTGGGAGGCTGAAGCAGGATGATTGATCACTTAAGGCCAGGAGTTCAAGACCAGCCTGGCTAATACAATGGGATCCCATTTTTACCAAAAATGTTTTAAATTAGCCAGGCATGGTAGTATGTACCTGTAGTCTCAGCTACTCAGGATGCTGAGGTAGGAGGATTGTTTGAGGCCAGGAGTTCAAGACCAGCCTGGGCAACATAGTGAGATCTCATCTTCACAAAAATTTCAAAATTAGACATCTGTGGTGGTGAACACCTGTGGTCCCAGCTCCTTAGAAGGCTGAGGCAAAAGGATCACTTGAGCTCAGGAGGTCAAGGCTGCAGTGAGCTATGATCACATCACTACACTTCAGCCTGGGAGACAGAGCAAGACCCTGTCTCAAAACAAAACAAAACAAAACATGAATAACATAAAATAATTCAGAATGGTAACTTCCGACTCAGAAGAAACACCGTTCATCAGGGGACTGATCAAAGAACATAGGACTGCATTTATGTTGCAAGATTAAGGAACAGTATACTTCCTACTCTTTTAGGTCAAAATGCTTAATTCCCATGCCAAGTTTATCTTTAAATGCTTGCAAATTCAGTGTACCTTTCCACCCTTCTCACGTCTTCCCTTCCCTGTCTTTATTCATCCCTAACCCTTGGAAAGAAAAAAAAATTACTAATATGAGATATTATAAGAAAATAATGATCACCTGATTAACTCTTTTTTGACAAAAAAAAAAAAAAATCTTTCCTGGCCTATACAAATCAGATGCTACCTATGTAGGTCAGAAGCTAAAAATAAAAAGCAAAGCATTTATTTTAGATCTAGGTTAGGAGGGAGATTTTTCTCCTTAAAAATCCCTGCTGATACCACATGTTGCAAAGGAAGATGCTTCCCGTGAACCCTGGGGCCGGGGCAGATTCTGCAGCACAAGGAAGGAGGGTGAGGCCCCCATAACCAGAGTCGCTTGACCAGCTTCCTAAAAACAGGATCTGTACCAGACAGAAGCTGCTGAATAATTCAGAACCCGGGCGTGCTCCCAACCAGGTCAATGCATCAGTGCACATCTCACAACTAAATTATGCAGGTGATTTTTTAGTGCAATTATGGCTGACATTCAGGGTGCAGAATGAGACCAGCATATGAATTTGGAGTGTTATGTTTATTGGTTTCCTTACAAGGGCAGTAAATAGAGGGATTTCATTTCAGAAGTCAGCTACAGTTAGGAAGTTCATGTCCACACGTGTGACGAGCCAAATGCTTACTCTATTACGTTTGAAGCCTATAGTAGTCTGAGTTCCGAAAACAAAAATGAGCTTCCAACTATATAAATCTTGGGTGAAAACTGACAGAAGAAATCATGGGGAGATGGCACTTTTGGTCCCAGTTTTTTTTAAGAGACACTGTCTTGCTCTGTCACCCAGGCTGGAGTGCAATGGCATGATCATGGCTCACTGCAGCCTTGAACTCCTGGGCTCCAGTGATCCTCCCACCTCAGCCTCCCAAAGTGCTGGAATTACAGACATGAGCTACCACACCCGACTAATTTTTTTTTTTTTTTTAGAGACAGGGACTCAGTATGTTACCCAGGCTGCTCTCAAGCTCATGGCCTCAAGTGATCCTCCCACCTCAGCCTCCCAAGTAGCTGGGACTGCAGGCATATACCATCATGTCCAGCTAATCTTTATTTCGCAGAGATGGGAGGCGTCTCCATTCACTGTGCAACAAGGTCAGCTTGCAGCCACGGGACCCGACATCACAAGGCTGCATGCACCCACGCAGGTGGAAAACCCATGACCGAGCTCTGAGCCTGAATTCGGCAGGCTCGAAGCCCACATGCGGGCCCCGCTGATCATCCAGGGTCTCCTGTCCTATGCGCGTTCAGGAGAAGAACGTGGAGTCCCAGGAGCACCGAGGCACAAATGCCGTTCCCAGCTTTCTAGTGTGGGGACAGAAATGCCAAAACCCACAGCTTCAGGCTCATCCAGGGTCATCCTGTCTGCAAAGCTGGCTGCAGAGGCACCATCCCAGCAGCCACTTTTGGGAGGACTTTGTGCTGACGGTGACGGGTCAAGAAAAGGGAATAGTGTCTTGTTGTTATTATTCTGAGAGGCCATAGAGAGGAACATGTGTGTGTGTGTGTGTGTGTGTGCATGAGTGTGCACACCCACATGCGTACATTCACACCCACACACATCACCCCTACTTTCATACGTGCACACACATGCATGCAAGCCATGTGCACACACATGCTCTCACACACATGCACACTCACATGCACACACATGTGCACACATCCACACTCACACCCATGCATGCACACATGCGGGCACACCTATGTGCACACACATGCACACACTCATGCACACACACCACCCACGCTCACACAACCACATGCACACACACACACGCATGTGTATGGTTCTGCCTGCAGGAGCTCAAGGAGCCCCACTGGCCCAGCCAGTGCCATGGCATATAACTCAGGGTTCAGCAGCGTCTTGCTCACGAGACCACTGAGCAGGTTCACCTGAGGGTGAAAGGGTCGAGGCTCACCTGAAACACCTGCCTGCCCAGTTAACCTTCCAGGGACTGTGATGATGGTGGCGTAGAAAGGGCAGAGATGGCTCCCAGAAAAACCACACTTAGAAGGGAACCAGAACAGTCAGGGAAAGCAGCTCGACCCGGCTTGCACATGCAGGGGGAGGTAACGCTGGCTTTCAGCTCAACATGGACTGGCGTGGAGGGAAGGCCAAGGGCATGACTCTGACGGCTGGCAAAGGACAGGCAGACACGAAACACACAGGATGGAAGATACGCTGAGAGGCAGGACAGCCACGCCCACAGGAGAGGATGCGGGCTCTTGGGGTTTGCCAACAAGTAGTGTGTGTCTGTGCGTACTCATGTGCGTGTGCATGCATTTGCATATGCAAATATTTACATGTGTGCACATGTGCGTGCATGCGTTTGTGTGTGCACATGTATGGGTGTGAGCACGTGTGTGCACTGCATCCCAAACTTCCATAATACCAACAACCCTCAGTTTGCCAGCCATGCAGGGAATGGGGAAGAGGTGGGGTGGCCGGCAGGCGCCCAGATGTCTGCGCACACAGCCGTGCGGGGTGGAGCCACTGACCTAGGATGGAGACCTTGCTGAGGAACTCCTCGTACATCTTGCGTTTCCTCAGCGTGCTGCCCTGTTGGGGAGAAAGGAAAAACAGACAAGAAGGTGAATTCTTCATGCCTGAATCATCCCGATGTTTCCAGATTTCCCCAAATGACTGTCAACTTTTAAAGGAGACCCTCCAAGAATTCTGAGTCCCAAGGGCCCTTGATGATCCAGAGGCTGTGCGAGCTGCCACGGTGCTCTATGTCCCCTGCCTCCCTCCTCCTGGGGGGCTTCTGGAGAAGCTCTGTCATGGTTGCTAAGTGCCTTAGCCAGCAGCAGAGTTCCCCACCCAGTCGGGGCCAGTGGTAGGTCCACACAGTGAGCACACGGCCAGCCAGAGCCTGAACCCGGGTTTCTACCCACGAAGGGGAGGGAACTCCTAAACACATCTGGAGAAACTGAGGGAAACACAGAGACTCAAGCACATAATGCAGAAGGGAGAGAGTGTGGCTGACATCAGCTTAAAACCCTGGATCCAGCTGTGCCTGAAGCAGAATCCTTCCCTGTTAAAGCCAACACTTGACTTCCCTCACCCCTGGGAAAGGCGTACTGATTAATACAACACCAACAAACAGGGCCCCATCAGCATTATGTGAATTCGAAATTAGAATTCATTCTAGAAACTAGGACTACAAATTTGAATTAGAAAAACACACCCCTTCTTCAAGCACACATTCCAGCAAACTGCTAGGCCCCGGTGCAAACAGGAATGGGGGCCCTGCTCCAAGCAGTCGGCTCCAGTCTGGTGCGCGGAAAGCAGCCTGGGTCTCAGCCCCTTTCGGTCCTATGCCCAGGCCTTTGTACAGTGCACGAACTCCACAACTGTGCACAGCAGCCACACGGCAGGTACAATTCAGAACCGCGCACTCAGAAAATAGAGACATGCAGTCCACTGGGACAGCAGCAAGTCTGATTTTGCTAAAATGCAAATGGCCTCATCCACTGACAGAGGCCACACGTTGGAGTAGGGTGAACGCCAGGGTTTGAGACAGACCAAGAGATGAGATGTGCTAGGACAAGGCTTTTCTGTGACCCTAGATAAGTCCCCTGGGGTGTGGAGAAAGGAGGGAGGAGGGAGCCTGCTGTGTTGAACGCCCACTCCAGGTCGGAAGGGGGCTCTTGGGCATGCTGACCCACATCGACCTCACAACAGATAGCCCTGTGAGGGGAATGTACTTTCATCCTTATTTTCCAGAGGCAGAAACTGAGGCTCAGCAGGGCTGTGTGACCGCCCTAGACAGGAACCATGGAACCAAGAAGGAAAACCCAGGCTGGGCTCTAAAAGCCCCAAAGCTGCACCTGCCTCTCTACCTGTCAAATGAGGACGTAGTTTACTCCTTCCTGACGTGCTACTTCACAGATTCCCATGACGCCCTGAGACAGAAAACCACAGTGAGCTGAGCAGGGTTTACCAGACGCCTCCCTGCTGTGCTGACCAGGGACATGCAGACACAGAGGCACTTGCAGTTTTGGAACACGCCCCTTTCCTCTCCTCCTTCTTGCTCTGTGGCATGTGGAGATGATGGCTGGGGCTGCAGCAGCCATCCTGGGCCTTTGAGGAGCAGCAGTAAAAGAGAGCCGGTTCCCGGGCCCCATGGAACAAGGTACCCACTCTAGACAGACTCCTTCCTGGGCGTGAGAAACAGCAGCGTGGTTTAAGACACTGTTATTTTGAGTATTTCCATTACGTCTGGCATGGCAGCAGCCAGCCCCCAATGATCCTCACTCGCTTCCTTGTGTCCACACCCTGCGTGGTCTGTCCCACGATGAATAGCGCTGACCAATGCAACTAAGACCACAATGAATAGGGCTGACTGGGCTGACTGATGCAACTCCGAGAATGCTCAAGAAATGCATTTGAGATTTGCAAAGCCAGGTTGTAAAAGACACATTGGCTCCTGCCCTGCTCTCTCCTGGATGGCTCAGGTGCAGAGACGCTCAGAGGAGGAGCACTGCCATTCCGCCACCTTCCAGCACAGCAGGGGGAAGCCGCCCCAGCAATCCTCCTCTGCCCCCCACAGCCCAAGGAGAGTTCCAGGCCACAGCCGTGCAGCTGGGCTGCTTCCTCCACGACCCACAGGAACTGTAACAAATGTGACATTGTTGACAGAGGCCACTAAGCTTGAGGCAAATCTATTACTCAGCCACAGCTAACTAATGCATCCAGCAAAACCTAATCCTAAGGGTTAGGATAGTCTAGGAGACCTAGGTTAGGACAGAAATCTAGAAACTCTTCTGAAGCCTACAGCAGGCTGGCTAAACATCCCCCTGCCAGGGACCCTCCCAGCTGCCACAGTGCCTGGGGGCAATGGTGAAAGGATGGTCATTTATTTCACCTTCTAAGCAATGTATGTAGGAAAGAGAGGTCAGGAAGGAGAGATGGACCGGATGTGAGAAGCAAGACCCCTGACACTGAGAGGAGCCCCCCAAATGCCTGTCAGTCTCCCCAGACCTTCTTCTTCTGAGGGGTGCTGTTCAGAGCATCTGCCCATCCACTCCAATCACTTCCGAAAATGGAAATCACAATCAGACCCCGCGTGGTGTTTACCAAGCGCCCTGGACAGGGGCGGAGGCTGTGATCGTCACATTTTCACAACTCAGAGAGCCAAGGAGGAGGAGAAAGCAGAGGAGGTGAGTGCTTCAGAGGAGGATGGCTGAAGCTACCCCACTGCCCTGGCGACATGGGGTCTGCGCAGGCCCCGCCTCCAGGGCCTGTGCCCACCCACTGCCCCTCTCCCGTCTATCAGTGCCACCCACAATCAGATGCAAACTTGTTTGTGTCTCCTTTAAAAAGGGACCCCTTGAGCACAATGAAGGTTGCCTCATCACATGGGGAAATAAGGGGCCACCACAGAGCCTCTTCCACAGCTGGGCGGGGAGGGGAGAGCAGCCCCGGGGACACAGAGTGAGCAGAGAGGTTGTGGGGGGCAGCCTGCAGCCCTCCCGTGCAGCCCTCCTGGCTGGGATGGAGCAGGACTCCAGCTACTGAGGGAGGAGGCCCTGCGGGAGTGGGGCAGAGGATGAAGGAAGAGAGATGGATTGCTGGGGAAGGAAAACAGCTCAAGGGGGAAGGGCTGGAGGAAAGGCACATGATGCTAAATGCCTGTCCCTGGAAAACTATGACAAAAATGCAAGCTCCAGTGAAACGAGGGAGGAACGGCGGACGTGCAAGTCCCAGAACACAGCGGCGACTTCTGCGGGGCTCAGGCCAGGTTTTTCCACAGTTGCTTATTCTGGACCCTGGTGGCGAGGCTGACCTTTCCCATGGGCACATGTCATTTCCGGTAGCGTGGCCCTCCCCGCTCACTCCCAAGCTTCCCTCAATGTCCAGAAACAGACTCCTGGGCCAAGCTTCCCACTCACAGAACAGACGACTGAGTCCAGCGAAGGTGTGGCTTGAGCTCAACCTCCATGATGGGGATGAGGACCCTAACGACACCCACCCTCCCCTGCCTTCCAGAGCCTCAGCATGGAGGACAGTGGACGGTCCACTCAACCTGGACAAGTACAGGGTTGAATGTGTCACCTGCATCACTGAGCCTCGGTGAGAGGAAATCATAAAAACACCGCCTCACTGGGTCATTATAGAAACTGAGTCTCAACAAATGTTACATTGCTGCGAATGATGATGATGCTCATGTTGGTGAGGATAGCGTGAGTGGTGATGACAATGGTGGTGGTGATGGTGATGATGGTGATGGTGTTAAGGATGGTAGTGATAGTGGTGATGACAGTGAGGACAGTGATAGTGACAGATAGTGATGGTGATAGTGCTGATGGTGGTGATGATGATGGTGATGGTGGTGATGACAGTGATGGTGATGATAATGGCGGTGGTGGGGTGGTGGTATTGAGGGTGTTGATGGTGATAATGGTGGTGATGTGATGGTAATGGTGATGATGGTGTTGAAAATGATAGATGGTGATGATAATGACGGTGATGGTGGTAAGAATGGTGACAATGGTGATGACGGTGCTGATGGTGGTGATGACGATCGTGAGAATGGTGGTGATGGTAATACTTGTGATGATGGTAAGGATGGTGATTGTGACGATATTGATGGTGATGATGATGGTGATGGTGACAATAGTGATAACAGTGACGATGATAGTGATAGTAATGATGGTGATGGTGATCATAGTGGCGATGATGATGGTGATAGTGATGATGGTGATGGTGATTATAGTGGCGATGATGATGGTAATAGTGATGGTGGTGATAATGGTGATGATGGTGATGGTGATAATGGTGGTGATAATGGTGGTGGTGATGGTGGTGATAATGGTAGCGATGTTGGCAATGATGATAGTGAGGATAGTGGTGATGACAGTGATGGTGGTTAGGTTATTATGGTGGTGATGATGTGTGATGATGATGGCGAAGATGGATATAGAGATGATGATGATGATAGTGATGATGGTGATAGTGATAATGGTGGTAATGATGGTAGTGATAAGAGCAGTGATGTTGGCCATGGCGATAGTGATGGCAGTAGTGATGATAGTGATTGTGGTGATTATGGTGATGGTGATGGTGGTGATGGTGATGGTGATAATGGTGGTGATGATGGTGGTGACAGTGGTGATGGTGATAATAGTGGTGATGACAGTGGTGATAGTGACATTGGCAATGACAATAGTGATGGTGGTGATGATGGTGCTGGTGATGATGGTGATGGTGATGCCGATGATAGTGATGGTGATGGTGATAATGGAGCTGATGGTGGTGGTGATGGTGATGCTGATGATAGGGATGGTGATGGTAATAATGGTGGTGACGGTGATGCTGTCAATGATAGTGAGAGCAGTGGTGATGATAGTGATGGTGGTGATGATGGTGCTGATGATGGTGGTGATGGTGGCAATGATGATGGTGTTGGTAGTTCTTACTGAGCACACAGAATTGTGATGATGGGGAAAGTCAGGACATTGCAATTCCATCCCCAGCCTGTCCATGACTCCCCATGCCCTTGAACTAGTCTTGCCCCTGTGGTCTTCAGTTTCTCCATGAGAAGAGTGATGAAACGA